GTGCTGGGGGATTGAACCGCGGTCCCTGTGCTTTGCTAAGCTTGTTCTAAGTAGGTGCTTTAGACCACTGAGCCATCTCACCAGCCCCAAGAACTGCTGATATTTTAGACTGATTTTGTTGTCATTGGTATTGGTTCTGGCCATTGACCTGCAGTCCTTCTCACTGAACTTCCTCCCCAGCTACTTTAAAATTTTAAAATTTAGACAGATTTTTGCTGCATTGTTTCAATACCCAGGCTGGACTTGATTTTGTGATCTTCGTGCCTCAGCCTCTCGGTGGTAGCACTAGAGGTGTGGAACCTCACAAGCAGGTAAGGTGGACTTGTTTTCTGGAATCTAGAGTTGCTGCATGTCATTGTTTGGGCCTTTTGTAGGGAACATTACTGTGGTGTACTCTAGGGACAGAAATTTTATAAGACTACTTTACAATGAATCACGGCGAGAATCATATACAAAGAGTACAGCAAATCTGTCCACACAGGAAAGACCAAAGAATCCAGCTGAGGGTCTGGATCCCAAGATAACGTTCTGCACCATTCCAGCAGACCAACTAGAGCTCACCACAGTGCCTTCCCCAGGTCCAGCTGGAGGTTCAGGGCCTATGACAATGTCTGATATGGGCCTGTTTCGTGAATTTGTGCTTGCAAGGCCCGAAGGTTGGTTGTGAAAGCTAGAAAATCTGTGTTAGCAGGATCAAGGATCTGTGCCAGCAGGCTGAGCGAGCCGCACTGGAGTCAGGAAGGAATGCTCACGGCTAAGAGCAAGAGCCGCCCTGGGAGGTCCCAGAGCCATCCTCAGTGACAGTAGGTCCTGAGCTCCTCCAGGGATGAGGAAAGGTGAGTTCCCGTCAGGAAAGCCAGTACTACAAGCTACTGTCGAGACTGAGCAGTGCACCAGCTTCTCCTCTGGAGCCAGGAAGCTACGCTCAAATGAGGATCAGCGCTCCCTGAAAGTGAACCCTAGCCATCCGCTGTGACAACGAGCAGCACTCCCTGAAAGTGAACCCTAGCCATCCGCTGTGACAATGAGTTCCCAAGCTTTTCCTCTAGTGAGATGAGCCCAGTTCATCAGGAAATCCAGCAGGACAAGGTCCTCTAGCAGAACAGCCTGGAGAACCAGCGGCTCCCAGCAGCTCCCCAGCAGCTCCTCTAAGCCGGTTCCCAGCCGCCGCCTCCTGCTCCTGCAGATCCGCCTCTTATGCTGCAGGCAGCAGTGGGTAGCCACAGGCAGCACCATCCTCGTTCAGTTGAACTGGGTGTTACAGGTTGAGCATCAGGGGGCAATCCTCCATACTGCAGTAGTATTAAGGCTGGATTTATATTTTTTATTTATTTATATATTTTTTATATTTTAGGGAAAGGTCTGCAGGGTGTTCAAGGTCTCACTACTAGAAGGGACTTGTTATAGTGACCTGCCTGTTTACAGCCTCCCAAGAGCTGGGATTATAGGTTCAGGCCACCATGCCCAGTCTTGATTGCAATCTCAGTGTGCCCTGGGGACAGGACAGGCATGGTGGGGCTGGCATGGCATGCCCTGGGACCAAACCCCTGCCCCTGTGCCTGCTTGCAGGCGCTTTAATCTGCTGAGCTATTTGGCTGGCCCAAGGCTGAATTTAAAGAACAATCCCCTGGGAACTCCTCCTCCCACCTGTGGCTTTAACTGCTTACTCAGATCTGATTCAGATTGGCAGCTGTGTTCTGTGAGCAGAGTTTGTGTCATCTTGCTCTAACAGGATTCCTAAGTCCCTATCCAGAAGGTGAAGTTACTAATTTCTGTTTGCCTCTGTGCCCTTGCTTGTCTCGCCTCCCAGTTTGTAAAGTCCAAGGCCATCTGCCAAATAAAAAGAACTGGAACCTTTCCTGTGTTCCAAAACCCAGCACTGTAAAGGCCAGTTTTTGGGTTGATTTGCATCTAAAATCCTGGAAATAAATCCTCCTGCTGTCTCCACTGGTCTCCCTGGTCTCTTGGGTTCTGCAACACGGTGGTTGTTGGAAAGCCTTGAGGTGCACCTTGCTCACTCAGGAAGAGCCTCATGGCCGGAGTCCAGCCTGGTGGGTGCCCCAGTCCTGGGGAGCAGAGCGGGCCTCTGTCACTCTGTTCAGGCTCAGGAGAGGTTGCCCAGCAGTTTCCCCACTCTAGCTGGGGTTCCGCTTTCATTGCCATGTCTTTTTTTTTTTTTTTTTTCCGGAATGTGGAATTGAACTCAGGCCCTTGCACTTGCCAGGGAAGCGCTTATTCCACTGAGCCATCTCACCAGCCCCAATGTCTTTACACTGAGTGCCCAAGTCAGCACTCAGAGGTCCTCTGCACAGCTCAGCTCTGTGCTGCCCATTTATTTGCCTTTGGCAATTGGATCAGAGAGGATGATCAGGCTGGGGACAGGAGGGACAAGAACATCTAGGGAGGACAGCTCTCTTCCTCCCTATCAGTGAAGGGCCCCCAGTGCGGTGGGTGGCTTTCCTCTGAAACACTGATGAGAAAATGACCATCAGGCTGAGAGCCCACATCTTACACTTTTGTATTTGCCGCTGGTCCCTGCAGCATGGTGCTGACCATCTTTGTTTCTGGTGTCCCATGGCAAGATGTGAGTTGGCATGAGAGGACCCACAGGCTAGGTACAGGATACCTTTCTCTTGACTCAAAGTCCAGCTGGTCCACAGCATGGAGCACAAGTGGCTCTGGGAAGGAGGGACCTTCCAGGCTGAGCCGGGGGCCACACAAGCTGAGCGCCCTGAGCAGCACAGGTCTAGCTGTGACCCTCTCCCATGAGGATTGCTGTGGTCAGATGCAGGAAGGCTGAAGGGGCCACCGTGGGAGTCATTCTGGAGTCTAAACTCCTGCTTGTCACTCATGAACTTCCTGGGTCTGCTTCCTTTCCTGACATGGACAGAGCCAAGAGTTACCAACCTCAGGTTCTGTCCCCAGCTTCAGGCACAGGGACAGTGAATGGGCTGTGGGGAATGCTCCTGAGCCAGAGTCCAGAGCAAGGGACCTGGATAGGGGAGCAGGAATAGTCTGCCGTGCACCTAGCTGCTGCCCTCTGTGCTGTGGTGTGCGAAGGCGCCCATGAGGAGACCTGGGGCACAGCTGGTTCCTGGAGGAGCCTGGGAGGTCTCTCTGTGCCACTCAGAGCCTCAGGCTGGCAGTTCCCAGCTGAGCACAGAGGCATCCAGGTTGACAGTGGACAGGCAGGCTGGCGAGTGCTGCAGCGGCGCCGTGGTAGCTGAGCATACTACCGTGCTGTGCTTATTGACTGAATTTGCACACAAGGCAGCAGGAACATAAGCATATCTACCCTTCCCAACTTCAGTGCAGAAGTGGCTGCCTGTCACATACTCCATTTGTAGTGTCCCTGGCCTCTACATGTGACTAAGAAATCTGAGCAGAGACGTGGTCTGTCACCCCCAGGTCACTCACCTTCACAACTGGATGAGTGTCCTCTGTCCTCTGTGTTCCTTTTGGTGGAGATCCCTGGAGGCCCCTTCTGCCCACGAGGGCAATGGGCTCCACAGCGTGCGTGGTGCTGTGTTTGTGACGCCCTTACAGAGGCACCTCAAATTCTGCTAGGAAACATCTAGTGTCATGTAGTTGAGTGTGCAGGAGAATTCCTTCCTGGGAAACCACTGTTATTGCAGATCTTAGCTGTCACACTGGGCCCGTCACCCTGATTCTCATGTCCTGGAGGCAGCTGCAAAGTATGTGCTTGCCTGTGTGACTCCGTCTCCCCTTTTGGGCTGGGCGCTCCTGCACCTGCCTCAGTTCTGGTCACTCCCTCATGTCAGACGCTGACCTGTAATGAGCAGCTGATAAGCACACGGTGACTGGCTCCCGAGGAGAGGGATTCCCAATTTTACAGCTTTGAACTTCAGGGATGGAGGCTTGTGCAGGGAGCCCAGGAGCGCGAGACGGAAGCAGGGGGCGAGGTTCTGATGTCCTGCGCATCTTGCAAAGCCTCGGCACCCAGGGAGGGCGGCGCCTGTTGGGACGGTGCGAATCTGCAGCCCTGGGCACACAGCAGGGCTGGGAGCTGGCAGCCCGTGGGCGGGAGCAGTGGCCACAGCACGCTGCAGCTCGGTAGGCCTCTTGCTGCCAAGCAAGCACTGTGTCTCCAGGATTCAACAGTGTACTCACTGGCCTCGAGCCCCCTTCTTAAGGCTGCACAGCTTCCCACTCCGCATCCAGTGCATGTGCAGTGGTTCTCCTGGCGGTGACATTGCCACGGTTCCCTCGGCTCTGCTCTCCTAGTCACGTTTCCATCACTGACCCTGGAGATGAAGGTCTCTTCTGCACACACTCCTGCCCTCCCCCTAGAGACTCACCCAGCAGGTGAACGCTGCGTCCCCTGGGAGTTGGCTTTGTAACATTTTCAAGCATCTCCTGCTACCCACAGCAATGGCACCGTTTACAGTCGCAGCTGCAGTCGGACAGGGTTCTAGCTTCTCAACCGGCTGTGAGAGATGGGATCAGGGATGGCTTCTGAGAAGACTGTCTGTGTAGGAAGACTCTCAGCTGAGGGACTTTGAGAATCTCATGTCTAGGAGGTGCACTCGGTGTGCTTACTGTGTTGCTGGGCTTTCTCAGGGACTGCAGTCCTCACTCTGGCAGGAGCGAGCTGAGGTTCCCATTTTCAGTGTGAGGAACTTCTGGCTTCTGTGTCCCAACACCCTGCCCAGGGCCACTGTTTCGAGAACTGGAGCTGGTGCTGAGGAGCCACCATCTGTCCTGTCTTGAAGTTTCACTCAGAGCCCCCTTCTGAAGGGAGGCTGCCTTCTGCCCTAGCAGGGAGGGAGAGGAGAGGGGAGGCTGAGCTCCTTTTCTGAGCAAGGCTTGAGGGGGAAACTGTCTTATCCAAGCCACCACTTTGTGGTCTTGTCTGCTTGGCGCTGTCAGCTCCAGGTCATGGCCCCACATCCCATCTCCCTCTTAGTCCTCGGTGAGGTGAGGACAATGGGAGGATGGGAGGAGCCAAGCCTTGGGAAGGGGTCCTGTTCCCTGCTCAGCCTGATGCCAGCCAGGAGGTTGTGAGTCCTGCAGGACACCTGTGGCTACTCCTCCACTCCTGCAGGACTCAGGGCGCATCACAGGACTTGGACCTAGAACAGGCCCTGGGTGTGCAGCAGGCCGCTGCTGGAAGGGCTGAGAGTGCAGAGCCTGTCTGCTGGGGTCTGGGTCTTCCTGAGCAAGCAGTGTAAGGGGTCTGGGTCGCTGGAAGGTGGGATGCTTTGGTAGCCATGGGAGGCTGAGTCCTGGGCTCTCCCAGGGCTGTGCTGCTTCACCCTTCAGGAACTGGGCACTGGGCATTTCTAACTGTGCTTCTCTTCCAGGGCTCTGCCTGGGCCAGGAGATCTTCACAGCGGAGGGTGAGTCCTGTTCACTCTGCTGGGCAGCAGGGAACTGGCTTCTGGGATGGGATGTCCTACCCAGGTCCCCAACAGTGACACAGGAAATGTGTAGCCTACAACCAGCTGCCTTCCCACCCCCACCCCTTTATTTTTGGCTGGGGGGAGTCAGTCTCCTTCTGCAGTTTAAGCTGACCTTGAACTCACTATTCCTGCTTCAGCCTCTGGTGTACTGGGATTATAGGAATATGCCTCCAAGTTCATCTTGATCTATTTTCTGTCTGTTGTTTTCTTGTTTTTAAAAAAGAAATAATTGTTTACACAAAATCTTCACTGAACAATGTGTTTATATAATGTCCATATTTGGGAGAGTTGAATTAGGCTCCTGTCCATCTCATAGGCTTATTTTCATGGTGAGGACATGTCACATCTGCCCTTTGAGCCATCTGAAATGTGCCCTGTGTCACTGTGAGCCACAGTCAGCCTGCCCCACCTGCCCCAGGTCTCAGGAGCTCCCTGTCTGCTCTAAGTGCCCTTCTGTGCCTGTGCACCAGCGTGGTCCCTTCCCCATCTGGGGCCTCCCCTGGCCTCTGGGAGCCACAGCTCCCCCTCAGCTCCTAACTCCACAGGAGGAGATGAGGTCGTGCAGCGCTTGCCCAGTACAGGCTCAGCCCACCTAGTAATGTGCCCTGGGTACCTTCCTGGTGTCACCAAGCACAGAGGTCCCCTCTGTCTGAGGGATGAGGGACATTGTGCTCTGCCTGCCCCACACTTTCTGTGTCTATTCATCCACATGTGATCCTTTCCCTGATCTGTCGCTTGGGTGTGGCAGTTGGCGCAGCAGTGACCATGGGGCACAGGTGTCCTGGTGACACGCTGCTGTCCTCAGAAGAGATTCAGCCCCAGTGTGACCCAGGTTGGACCTCTTAGGATACAGACTTCCCTAGCTTTTCCTGGGCAGAAGCAGGAGGCCCAGCTGAGCGGGGCCCCAGTGCTCTGTCTTTACCTTCCATGATATTTAAATTTCACTCAAAGGCTTGTGTGTATGTTGCTGCTCATATAAAATACTCCTCCTCCTCAGCCGCTTTCCAAGGTTTACCTTCAGACAGAACAGAGCGGCTCAGCTCTCAGATCTGGGCCTGGCTGTCCCCCACGCACTTCCTTCTGCCCGGCAGACGGGGCGTTTGTCCCTAGATATCTCGACTTTCTATCCCTATTTCAGATGTGCAAGCTCCTGCTCAGCTCAAAGACCAAATTTTATTTTATGTTTTGGTCCCAGGAATTGAACTCAGGAGCCTGCACTTCCCAGACCTGCACTTGGGCCTGTGAGCTATCTCCCTGGCCCAGGCTGAGTTTTAATATGACCCACGAGCCTGCACCTATTTACCATGCACAGCATGGCGTTTTGCAGCAAGCACACATCACATGAAGAGCTAAGCAGCACACGCACTACCTGGCATATCTTCCTCCACGCTGAGAGCGCTGTAAATTGCCTTGGGAGATGGTCAGGAGCATCACATCCCATTAGACCACAGTCTCTGGGTCCCTGGAGGATCTCTTGGCTGCCTCATCCTGTCCAGGGGGAGCTTGGTGTCCTTGGTGACCCTATCAGGTGGCCATTCTCCTTTACTGTCCCTGAGTGCTCAGCACAGGGAATGTACAATCTTCCTGGGCACAGTGGGCACCCTTCCCCAGCACCCAGGGTGGGCAGCCCCTCCCTCCTGGGCCAGGTTCCTGCCCTCCACAGGACACTTATCTCAGGTGCAGCTGGGCATGGGGACAGTTATCTGTCAGTGTCTGGCTCTACCCAGTGTCAACTCCAAGGGCGGGGACTGTGTCCCGGCGTCCTGCCCTTGTGGAACTGTGGCACAGGGAAGGAGACTTGGGGCAAAATGGGGCTGACTTGTGGTTGAAAGGGTGCAGAAAGGAGCGAGAAGTGGCCCTCCCAGCCACTTCCTCCCCCCTCTGCCTGGGGCACTTGTTCCTAGATACCTGGACCCTGGTCACGGCATGCACAATTTCAGCTAGAGTCAGTTCAGACAATTTAAGGAACGTGCTTAATGAGACCTGCTGTGCTTGAAGAACCTCAAGAGCAAAATAAACTCTGGGTGTTCTCCCCACGCAGCAGTGTTACGGGGCCTGATTTCCCATTTCTCCACCCACGTACGCTTCCATGAACGCACCCTGCTGTGCCGTCCAGGTATGTGCGACTGACTTTTCAATAGTTAGTCGACACCTCTTAAGTTGACTTACTTATATGAGAAGAGTAAGAATGAAACTGGGGCAGTTATCATGCCCCTGCCTTTAAGTGTCGGTGGGCAAGAGTGATGGGGGCGGCCTGACCCTCTGCAGCTCCTGCTCTTACAGAGCGTCCTCTTCCGTGCCTACAATCTCATCTTCCTCTTGCCCTCTTTTCATTGTCTAATCCTCAAATTCTCGTTTTCCTTCTAATTGTGTTATATCATTCTATTTGTATTTCTTCTTTTGAGTTCTTTTTTTTTTTTTTTTTTTTGTGGAACCGGGGATTGAACTCAGGCCCTTGCGCTTGCCAGGGAAGCGCTTATTCCACTGAGCCATCTCCCCGGCCCCTCTTTTGAGTTCTTATACAAGGGAGATTATACGATATTTACACATGTGGGTCTAGTTTATTTCACTAATGAGTATATCTTCAAGTGGCATCCACTTAAAAATGAAGGCTTTGAGTTTATCATTCTTTATAGCTGAGTAATACTCCATTGTATAAAAATACCACATTTTTTTTTTTTATCTGTTCTTCAGGTGATGGGCATCTCGGTTGTTTCTAGGATTTGGCTGTCAGAAATTGTGCTGCTGTAAATGTAGGAACACATATGTCAGTATGATGTTTTCAGTTCCTCAAGGCCATGTTAATATGCTGAGCTCTGGAAGGCTCAAACCATCAGATTCAGACATTGCCAGTCCTTTGGGTAACCCACTACTATTGTGGAGTACTGGACTATATTGGAATATTTTGGTGATTTCATGCACCTACAATATTTGGATGGCAATGGGATACCTTCCTCTTACAAAAGTGAAAAAAAAGGTCATATAAATGAAGGACAATTTTGTATCTGTATATACAAAATAGTTGGGTTAGATATACAGCTACTTTCTCTTAATTCAATAAGAAGTAAGATCTATACTAATAGAGTTTGAACAGGACATCATGTCTGCATCTTGTGCTATGAATGATTACTGCAGACAACAATATGCAATGTATTAATAGTTGTAACTCTCCTAGAAACCTGTTTTGAAGCTGTCACATTGAAATTTTTTCTCAATAAAATTAATAAAAAAAATCTCATCTTCCCTATCTCCACCTCAGATAGGATAATCAGGGAATAGAAATGAGGCTGAGGTGAGCATAGGAAACCTCGAGGAAACCCCAGAAGGTCGCTCCCCAGGCCCTGGGCAGTGCCCTTATGTAACAAGCTCCACAGTAGACTCCTCACGGACCCACTGTCCTCACTCTAACAGTCCTGGGATACCCAAGCCAGACCCAGGATATCCCCAGGTTGGGGATCTCTACTGTGAGGCGTAGGGGTGAGAACTGGGGTGCACAGGGATCACATGGGGACTGGTGGAAACAAGTGAAGCTGAATTGGCTCACGGCTGCGCAGCTCTGTAAGTTTGCCAGGAACACTAACTACTAACATGCCCCTGAAACGTGCTCTGCGTGTGACGACTTCTACTTGGTGGACACTGAGGCCTGCTCTGCTTCCTTTAGGGCCCCTGCCTGCACCCTCCATCACGGCAGAGCTGGGCTCTATGACAAGTGGAGGGAGGATTGTGACCATCGTGTGCCGAGCCCAAGGGAGCATTGAGCGATTCCGCCTGGAGAAGTGTTCTGCTGATGGTTGTTCGGCAATTATGGATCACATGTCCACTTTACTTTTTGAGACTGAGGCCAGATTCCTCCTCACCTTGACAAATGCTGGGCAGTACAGCTGCATGTACCAGAACTCATCCATGTGGTCTTCACGCAGTGAGATCCTGGAGCTGGCAGTGACCGGTGGGGATGTCACCCAGACAGTGCAGTCCCCAACCTCCACTTTGCCTTCAGATTTGTCCCCAGGTATCTTGACCATGTTCCCACCTGCCTTCCTCTGTCTCCCATCTCCCCCTCCTGACTACAAGCCCTCTCCACCCTTCTCAGCACACCTGTCCCCTTCCCACTCCTTGTGTCTGGGGCTGTCCAGCTGCATGAGCCCTGTGCTCTGTGGCTGGTACCTCCAAGAAGGGACCAGGCTGTGTGCTGGCGTTGCAGCCTCTTGTGCCACCTACCAGATGTCCTTGTCCTGAGCATTGTTACTGAGTCTGGCGGCAGAGCTCTGAGCCCAGGTGTGTGGGGAGGACAGAGCCCTGAGCAGGGCAAGAGGAGCTGTCACTGCTTCCAAAGACCCATCCGGCCTTAACCCCCAGGAGGGCCGATTGGTGAGCCCAGGGGGCAGCTGCTGCACAGCCTGCCTGTGAGTTCTGGCCGAAAGGCTGAGCATATTCTCCCAGATGCTGTGCAGTGTGAAGGTCAAGGGCTCTGACTCCGGGCTCAGGAGGAAACCATGGCTCTGGGCTACACAGCTCTGTGCTCAGGACCCTGCATGGGCTTCCCCAGGGGCAGGGCAGGTCGTGACAGCTCCCGGGGTGGGTGATGCTTTCCCACAGGGCACATGATTCGGGTCCGCCCTTCTGCAACAGGAAAACCCTTCTTGGGTTGAAATTTGTCTTACAGTGGTGTGTTTGAGGGGTGCAGGCTGGAAGCTTGCTGAGAGTGGGGGGGGGAAGGTCTGGCTCACTTGAGCTCTCATGGGGGTGGAATTAGAACCAGATACAGAGGTGCACACAGTGTCCCCACACGAGAGCTGCAAACATGAATAGGAGTCTGTCAAGTGAAACTTCAGACCTGGAACTGAAGCGATATTGAATTAATTGGTCAATATTTTAAATATATAAGGATTTTTTCATTATTATTATTATTATTAGTTAATGTATTTAGGACAGGGTCCACAGGGTCTACAGGGTCTCACTATGTGGATCGGTCTAGTAGTGATTCTCCTGTTTTCAGCCTCCCAAGCCCTGGGATTACAGGTGCGTGCCATCATGCCCAGTCTTAATGACTGTCTCAGTGTACCCTGGGGGCTGGGCCAGCATGGCACACCAGGGATCGAACCCTGGCCACTTCACTCTGCCTAAGTAGGTGCTTTAATCTGCTCATCTATCTGGCTGGCCCTAAGGATATACTGTAGGTGAAAACAAACACACTAAAGTATAATTGTGGTGGATATAATACATGTTACATATTGAATGCCATATCATGTTTATAATATATAATGTACAGGGTATTGTTAGAATGGACATAAACATAATATCGATGGGACATTACATACATATAATTTATATAATTGGAATAAACCCTACCTTACCTTCAATTGATTAAAATTATTTACATAAATTTAGAAGAGACATTAAAACTTACTGTGCGTGCACTTGTATAACTGTGTGTGATAGATTGAGTCACGCATAAGGTGATGATGGGCTGACGTCCCCAGGATGTGTGCTCTGCCTGGTTATCTGGGTCAGGGACACTTGGCTTCCACAGCCCTGGCTGCCACGGCCTCTGCTCACTAAGGCCACGAGGTTCAGCCGGAGCTCCTGGGCTGCACACCTGCGCTGGATATGGATGTCCCCAACACTGCAGGTCTGAGTGATCCAGGGCAAGCATAGCTCACTGGCTGATGCTTTGGACGTGTATCTGCTGTGCTCTCCTGGGCCAGGTCACGTCTGTGGGGACATTAGCAGGAGTGCTGGGCCGTGTGGGGCCGCATCTACTTATGCAAGGGGTAACTGTCCATGCGCTGTTGTGTGTGTGGCCTGCACATCAGTGGCAGGGAGATTCATGATGAGAGGCAGGGCCGAGCTGGTGCAGAGCAGCGGGCGGGAATGCGGAGAGCCCTCCTGGTCCTCGTCTAGGCCCAGGGAGTGTATATTTGTCATCTCATGGAAAAGGCACTGGGATACTGGGGAGTGAATTCCAACCTAACACTTCTAGTGCTACCCATGATGAGGTCATGGCCATTGCTTGACCAATTTGTTTTCTGTGAAAACCTGAGAGAATGTTTTTTCTCCATGTGACTCTCTTTAGGCACACTCTACACCACTGATCACATTGCTCTGTGGCCCCATAATCTTGATGAGAAAATTTGGGACACACTTGAGTTACATGATGGTACAATATAGGTTCTCCTAGGTCCTGAGTCCTCACTGACCTTGAAAGGCTAGGGCCCAAATGTTGGCTGTCCTTGCAGCCCTTCCTTTTCTCTAATTTTTGGTTTGCAAACGTAGGTTGTGAACTCTCCAGAGACACAAAGGCATATATGCAGTTGTGGGGAGCCAAGCAGTCCCAGGTGCAGATGGGATGACGGCCAACTGGAAAAAAGGTCTTGACCCAGGGACAAGCCTGGTCTTGTTGATTCCAAAAGAAGGGAGAGGCTTGGGAATGACTGAGTGTGAAAGTGTCAGGAGGTAGGTGAGGGCTGTGAGCTGGGCTGGGGAGGAGGCTTGAGAGGACGCCTGCAGTATGCAGAGAGAAGGAAATGCGCAGAGTGATCCCCTGACACAGTTGAGGTCGGATCTGATGTTCTGGGCTTGGTGCTTCAGCGTTGATGTGTCATTTTTTAAATCCTTAGAAGTCATATCCTCTTATCTCAGCAGCATAGAGCCAGGCTCTCCCTCTTGCTCGGCATACACAGGTTTTGAGGAGCTGACAGGGCAAGATAGCACTGACCTGTTGCCCTGCTTCAAAAACCACGTATCAGCACCTCGGCTGGGCCTGTTGGTATTGCTTCAGGCCCATGAGGGGATAAGGAATCCCCTTAGCCAGCTCTGTACATGGCAGCACGTGGAAATAGAGTCAGGCTCAGCCAAAACGGAGACAAGGGCTCCGTGTTCAAGGGTGGGGGGGTCCCCTGGTGTCCCCCACAGTTGCCCCATCATTGCCTTGAAGGGGCAGAGTCCTGCAGGGCTGTGTGGCCTCTAGCTGTCGCCAGGCTGTGAATCCTCTATGACACACCATTATGAGGAGGATTATAAGGAAGAAAATGAGCGCACCGATTCCAGTGTGAAACCAACAGAGAGCCTTTGAGATAAGCACATGGATTCACTTGTCCTACAGCATCAGCAAACTTGTCCTAGTCTTTAATTTGGGCATCCAGCGTGACTGCCTGTTGTTACATAGACATTGCCTCTCTCTCTCTCTCTCTCTCTCTCTCTCTCTCTCTCTCTCTCTCTCTCTCTCTCTCTTTTTCATACTTTATTTTATTTTATTTTTTGGCTGAACCAAGGACTGAACTCAGGCCCTCGCACTTGCCAGGCAAGCACTTATTGTACTGAGCCATCTCCCTGGCCCTTATTTTTAAAAATACATTTATTGAGAAACAAATAACAATGAGACAGTTTCAAAACAGATTAGTAGGATAGTTTCAATAATAAATACATTGTATATTGTTGTCTTAGTGGTTATTCATAGTACAAGATGCAGACATTATATCCTGTCCACAAACAATATTAGTACAAATCTTTCTATTCATTGAATTAAGAGAATGTTGCTGTATATCTATCCTGTTTTGATTATACAGATAAAAAATGGCCACTCATTGTATCCCCTTTCTTTTTGTTTATTTTTGTCACAGAAGCATATTCTGTTGTCATTTAAATATTGTAGGTGCATGAATTCAGCAAAATAATCCAACATAGTCCTGTAGTCCATAATAGTAGTGGGTTATCCCTAGGACTGGCAATGTCAGAAGTTGTTCATTTGAGCCTTTTACAGCTCAGCCTCTTAATATAGCTTTAATTTTATGCCTCAATTTTATAGTTTTCTGCTGGATAGTTAAAAACAAGATAAAGCAAGACCTATATAACAAGAAATGTAATGTTTGTATCTGATAAGGTCTGTCAAGTCCCCTCAGAATTTATCCTGTAACCCTGTACTGCAATTTGTAGATCCTTGGTCAGTGTCAGCCATGTGGATGAGTCACGGCCATTGCTTGACCAATTTGTTCTCTGTGAAAGCCTGAGAGAATGTTTTTTCTCCATGTGACTCTCTTTAGGCACACTCTACACCACTGATCACATTGCTCTGTGGCCCCATAATCTTGATCAGAAAATTTGGGACACACCTGAGTTACATGATGGTACAATATAGGTTCTCCTATGTCCTGAGTCTTCACTGACTTTGAAAGGCTAGGGCCAAAATGTTGGCTGTCCTTTCAGCCCTTCCTTTTCTCTAATTTTTGGTCTGCAAACATAGGTTGTTAACCCTCCAGAAGAGAAGCTTATTATTACCCTACAACATAGGCAGTTGGGTTTAACCTCACTATCTGTCTCAATATCAAACATCTTAGGCATAACATGGAACAGATATTTTCCACCAAGTATTGATATATTAAAATTTAAGTCCCTACAGAATATGGTGAAAAAATTTTTAAAAATATTTTAAAAATATGAATAAATAATTACATATTTTTACACAGACATCTATAAATCTAACCATGCACAGCATTGTAGAAGGACAGTCCTGTGACTTTCTTTTTTCTTCTCTCTTTTTTTTCATTTATTACCCTTTTTTTTACTTGAGAGACAGTATAGCAATAATTGCTCTGTCATGACAAGCAATACATATTCAGAAGACCAGAATTACAGCCGTTCTGAGCGTGACCCTTCTATCATACCTTGCCATCTGCAGTGCAGTTGCTTAGATCACAGGTATCAGCATATATAGTTAGTCAGGGTGAGAATCCTACCAATTAACTGCTAGATTCAAAAACCTTCTGGAGATTCTCAGAATCATTGCCTTGCCCATCTTCTACATATAACTGTATGGCTTGACATTGTCATGTTTCCTAGCTCTTCTCCTTTCCCTCTCTTAATTAGTTAGTCCTCGAGATCCTGCTTTCCTTTTACTTGTATTATACCTTTCTATTTGTATTTCTTCTTTTGAGTTTTTATACTAGGGAAACTATACGATATTTACACATGTGTGTCTGGTTTATTTCACTTATGGGTATATGTTCAAGTGGC